GATAAACAGAATTACACTGTTTATTACGTGACAGTGAGAAATACGATCTTATTTTATTTATCTCCATGTTATTTAGAGGAATATCGTCAAAAACTACTATCTTATGTTCATCTGCATCAAGTTGATTAACTGGAATAAGATCTTCTGGCTGCCTAATTATAAAAAAATCTTCACCAACCTAAGTTCATCACGCAGCTTGTCATTATACTGGCTTAATAACTCATACTTATCCTGCTGTGGATTGATTGTGTAAATATAAACTCTGTCATAGTTAAAATTCTCACCAAGAAGCAAGTTCATAAGCAAATTTGTTTTCCCAGATCCAGTTCGCCCAACAATAAGATAATGACAATCAGGAAGTTCATTGTTATGTTTATGCTTCACCAGTCTCTCTGTATCAAAGTTTAATATCGACGATTTTGCCATTTTGTATAATATTAAACTAGTGTTGATAATTTTATCTAGGACAGTAAATAATGAGCTACTATACAAAATTTGGAACACTATCAGGAGATTTTTCCACAGAAGGTTATCAAGGTGACTTATCCAAATATGCAACTCTTGATCAGCTCAAAAATGAAATCAATAATTTACTAAATATTGCTAGTGTAAATCCAAATGAAGTCGTCGTTTTCCAGGACAAAGATGGACGATTAAAAACGAGTGATGTAAAACTGTCAGATGTACTTGTACGAAATCCAAGTGGGAATATTGTTATGAAACAAAACAAGATTACAGATCTTGGATATCCAAGTGAGGACGGTGACGCTGTAACTAAGAAATATGTCGATGATCAGGACGTTCCAATCAGTAATAAAATAACAGCGCTCAAAAATGAATTTACCGGTCACGTAAAAACGATTTTAAATTTTCGCAGAAACATAAACACGCTTAAAGATGAATTTTTTGGAAATCCATCAAATGTTAACATTACACTCGCTAATATTAACACAAAACTCGATGATATTGTTGAGAAAACGAGTATGATTAAAATTCCTCACACACAGATTAAAAATATTATGTATACTGTTGCTTCTGGGTCTGGTATGTGGACGCAGCAAAATAATTCTATCAAATACACTGCAGAGGTTACCGGTGTGTATAGATTCACAGTGCTTAGCATTATAAAGTTTCAAATATCTTCCTATTATTCACATGATCATAATTCGAATGTTGAGATTTCTGAAGCTATAACTGTAACAATTTATAAAAATTCTGAGGAAGAATTTGTACTTCATCCAATCGATGAAAATTTTAAAGGTCCTGTCCATTATGATTGGTGTTTGGAATTTGTAGCTGAATTAGAATAACCAAGCCTAGGGATTATGTAAACAAATATTATAATGAAAAGAAGTATAGTTGATTTCAATCACATTTCAAAAGATATTCCAGTACAGGATGTGGACGCACTAATACAATACTACAAATATTATTATAAAAACTTTGGTGTGTAAAAAAATGTTACAAATACTATAAGATCCTTCGAGTAATATAATATCTACCCTTGTTAATAACCAGTTCTGGTATAATTTCAAGTGGGGTATCATTAAATCCTTTTTTGTTAATCATATCCTGTATTGGTGTTTCTCTTACAACAGCGTGTAAAAAAGTAGAACCAAGACTTTTAATAAAAAAGCATAGCTGCTTAACATCGGTTATAACTTACAAGAAACTACTTGATCAGATCCGGTCTTACCTACGAGGAGTCAAATATAATATGGACGATTTAATACGTGAATTTCGTATTATTGACAGTATGTTAACAGACATTATACCAATGAGGGTTAGCAAGTATGAAAAAAATTATCAAAAAATATGAGTAACGTATAATTTTATCTAAACTTAAGATACCTTCCCTAATACTAGTTTAATTTCCACCTTGCAAATGTTAACTGAAATTGCCACGCTCTAATGCGCATTAAGAATCTACACACAGGTAAACATGTTTCCCTACCTGTAAACTGCAGTATAAAATTCAGGTAAACTGATAGATCTTATCTTTTCCAACTGAAATTTTATCTAAATTATATAAAATAATATAACTTACCTTTCTAACGTTGATTCTAATCCGTAGTTTAATTTCCGTCTTGTTAACTGAAATCGCCACGTTCTAATGCGTAGTTTAATTTCCACCCTGCACAGCACACATGTTATCTGATGAAAATCTTGCGGTAGACTGATAATAAAACCCCGTCTGTCTTGCCTTCTTTAGAATAATTCGCGAATATTCCACGCATGCTCTGTTCTAAAAAATTCGTCACCTCTGTATGACAGAGCTTATCTAGATGAATCATGACCTTCCCACCTGTTGTTTTTGTCTGGTTATAAAATACCTGTCTGCACACCCTGTATGACACGAGTTTACCTGGATGACCTTCCCACTTGTTGTTTTTGTCTGGTTATAAAATACCTGTCTGCACACCTCTATAGGACAAAAGCTTACCTAGATGGATGAATTAATAATTTAACCTTCTAACACTTGTTGGTTGTGTAAAATATCTTTTGTTTACCTGGATGTACATCCTGTACAAGGAAGTTTACCTGAGAATATAATTCGTGTATATAACTCTCTACCTAACACTGTAATAACAGAGAAGGGGGTGTGGTTAGAAACTTTACTAATACTTTTTGAAAAAAGGGGGTGGGGGATAGTTTATACATAGCAGTAGGGGTAAAAACAAGGGTTGGGCTAAAACCCTTGTTATCTATTACTACTCCTACTCAGATATGAACAGAAAGAAAAGGTTGATAGGATACCATTTATTCTGACCTATAATCCTGACAATCCCAAAGTAGGTAAAATCATCGCAAACCACTGGCCAACCGTGCAATTGTCAGACATACTAAACCTAATACTTCCGAACAAACCTGTAGTAGCTTACCGGAGACCAAAAAACCTAAAGGACATCCTAGTCAGGGCAAAGCTAACGCCAATCGCTAGTCAAAACCAACCTAGTCAATCTGGACCCTGTGGCGATAAAAGATGCAAAACCTGTCAACATATGATAGAGACCAAGACATTCGCTAGCACAGTGACTAAAGAAAAACTAAACATACATGGTCCAAATAAAACGTGCAAAACAGAGAATGTGATTTATCTCATCACATGTAAGATCTGTGGCCTTCAGTACGTCGGAGAAACTGAAAAGCTACACAAAAGGATAAACCTTCATAGATCTGATTGGATGACAAAAAAGCTGTACAGAAGCCCGGTCGCAGAAGACTTCTCCTCCCCTGGCCACACTTTCAGTGATATAATACTTATCGCTATTGCTAACAACCACAGCTAGAGTTCCGAAACCAGGAAGAAAAAGGAATCATACTGGATACGCCGCCTTAGAACATTGAAACCAAGCGGTCTAAACCAAGAAGACTAGAAAATGAAAACTATGCACTAGTAAAATTTAACATTTTCTAAATCTTATTTTCCTTCAATTTTTACTATAAGAATAACCGGTAAAGAATCAAATATCCGGGATATAATCTGCGTTACATATGTACAAAAAGTAAAAATAGATGTCGCTTTGGCTTGTAGACTTTTAGGGAATTATACAACGTTTTCAGTTTCCGCATCTAGTCTATACAAGCTGGTTGTATTTATAGTTTTAGCACATGTGAAGACAGCCATGTAGAGGTTTACAAACACAACGTTTTTGTGTTTATTTGTTTATCGTATATATGTTTTGTATTTGCCTTTGAAAAAGACTCATTAAGAGTCGAAAGCGCTTAGGCTAGTTAGTTACTAGTTTCGTGCTGTTCGTCGTCAGTTTATTGCATCTATTTTAATTAATCCCTGACACACGTGATCCCTTGGAGGATCCAGTACGCTTGAAAGGGTTGTTATTCGCCATATGATTTATATTCTTTATATATATATATATATATATATATATATATATATATATATATATATATATATATATATATATATATATATATAGCGTTGATAGAACCGAATTTATAATACCAACAAATGATGACGCAGATGTGGTGGTTTGACAGCTATTTTGAGTACTAAGGTACGCACATGTTTGCATACCTACCTACCTACCTACCTACCTACCTACCTACCTACCTACCTACCTACCTACATACATACATACATACATACATACATACATACATACATACATACATACATACATACATACATACATACATACATACATACATACATACATACATACATACATACAACATAGATACAAAAAATAGAGAAAAGAAAGAAGATGAAAAGAACGAAGGGAATGCTGAAAACCAAGAAGCATGTAGATACTAGATACAGGTAGATGCATAAATTAATAAATAGACAGACGAATAGCTAGATTTCTCGTTAGTTAATTGGATAGATGGATGGATGGAAAGATGATAGATAAATGGACTGACGGACGAAGAGATCGCAAGCTTAACTGTGATAGATAGACAGATAGATAGATAGATAGATAGATAGATAGATAGATAGATAGATAGATAGATAGATAGATAGATAGATAGATAGATAAAATACATCTCGATTTTTATCAAATTGCGACTGAAATAAATGTAAACAAATTATGAAGAGGTGCTGTTTTGTCGTCATGAATTCGTGGCAGCACAACGCACATACATTTATCAAAGCAGATCCGTTATAAACCAGATCCGATCGTGTTATCGGTCGACCAGCCATGTAACGTAAGTACACTCGTTCCAAAACTTATCGAAAGCCGACCGAGATTTGACTAACATGTGCACTAGTCCTAGAACACAATGATCAACCAATATTATCTACAAAACTTAAAGCTGTGATAAAACAGCATTTGAATGACATATGTAACATATGTCAATACATATAGTCCAATACTTTCGCTGACAAGATCGTATAATGTCATAGCACGCTCACTGACAGCTTGTTTTAACATTCAGGACTGATGAACGGACACTCAGATGGCTGAGTATCAAATATTAAACTCCAATGATCATAACTTGAACATTATGACGTTATGTTTCATTCAACCGCTCCCGCTCCGGTGGCCTAGTATTTATAGCGTCCGCCTCAGATGTGGGAGGTCGTGGGTTCAATCCCCGGTCGAGTCATACCAAAGACTTACAAAAATGGTACTTACAGCTGCCTCGCTTGACGCTCAGCATTAAGATGTTAGTGTTAGGACTGGTCGACCTGGTGTCAGGATAATGTGACTGGGTGGGACATCATGCTACATGTCTGCAGCATGATGCCCCAGTGCTAGACATCACTATAAACTGCTACACAGGCAGACGTCGTAGCGATATGACTGAAAAATTGTTAAAGGTACGTTAAAAATTATAAACACCACCAACACACACACACACCATCATTGTTCATTCAATTACCGTTATTTTCTTGAAATGCAAAATAAATTGTGTAGAGTAAATATTTTCATTTTCTTGTTGATGTTGTGCTTATTGTTATAAAACATTTGATAATAAAGGGACGTGTTTGCTAATAAGTAGGAATGGTTGTCTCTTTGGATAGGGTACATGGTGCCATGGTGCTAACTGGTTTATGAGCATGCCTCTACTTTCATTTCATCGATGAAAATGAAATCAAACAAATCGATATATTCCATTAATATTTAAAATGCTTTCTCTTTATCAAACTTGGTAGGAATAGCCCAACAGCCCCATTATGGCTCAAGTTTGCAGACGTAAGTCAGTTTCTATCGAATGATCGGACTTCGGTTGCATGAAATCACCAGACAAAAGACCGAATAAATTAGAGCTATGCATTCACGAGAACACTTTTCTTTATTATAGCACACAATGTTTTTCTTGTTCTTTTCGCCCTAACGTCAAAAACCTCGATGGAGAACGTCAACACTTCTTTCCAGTAGTGAAAATCCATACCACCTCTGAGACGCTAGTATTCAAAAACAAAGATGGCGGAGCATGCCAAAAGTTAAATCGACATGTTGCTCTTCCGAGATCTGCTTGAGTTGTTAGGGTTAACTAACTCAGGAATAATCGAGAACCAGTGAGAACTTATTAGTTGTGTGTGGTCGAAATTCCAGAATAGGTCGCCAAATGAAGGCCTTTATTAAAACATAAAATGAGTACATTTTATGTCTGGGATTTTGAAGCCAACTGTTTTGTTTTATCATACACTTAGAAAAAAAAAATGTTACATTATGGGGTAGATCCTGAATCCCAATTTCAAATAGATCGTCAGTCCCTGGTTGTGCCCAAAACTACCCATATATGTTGATGTATATCAGCATTTCAGTGATGACCTCAATTGATACGAATGCCGCTCTTGAGACAAAAATTCGACGTGAAGGTTAATACCCAGTTGGTATGATAGCATTATCATCTGATCACACGTGATGGTTATATATACATCGAACGTGAGGCAGGCAAAACAGGCTATTGCCGTGTATGCTTAGCAGGGAGTACACGAACTGCAGGTAATAATAACATTGCTTTAAAAAAAAAACTTTTGTATTACCTGTTTTCTTTAATTCATGATCCAAAAATGCTCTGAAGATTATGTAAATTCGGGATGTGTTCACTTTTACTTTCACGAAGACTCTATTTTATTTTAGATCACTGTATATAATACAATTTCAAATACATCTTATCGCACATGCGAGATACTTATGCACATAAAACCAAAACATTGGTACCAGTTTTCGAAAGAATCAACAGGATTTAAGATTGTTAATGCATTCACAAATGAATATAACAGTAGTAAGAAATCGGCTGACAACCCTTCCTCCTGACTAGTACAAAAATGCTTAATCACAGGTGACCTTTCTAAACCTTTGCATGCCATCTTTGTGGACTTTTGTGGACACGAAATCAGCATCATAGTATTGTTGTTGCTTTTCATTTATTTATATTCGAAAAATCTTTATTTTGTTTCAGTGTTGCATTGCAAAGATTTTTTTTTTCACAAGCAAAAATCAGAATGTTTTACATGCAACAAATGTAATATTTATGACAAAACATTTATTAAACAAACTGAAGAAGGCATCAGATGTTCGTGAAATCTCTAACGACTGCCTTAAGGCAGTTGTAGATCCCGAAAAATTACACTTGTGGATTTTTCGAAGTTGTGTAATCATTTACAATGTTGTGAGAAAGTTTTGAGAAACACGAAATATTAGCACTGCTACAAAACGAATGTTCTTTTATGTCTTACTTTTTTAACACATGATCAGATTTCAACAGACGAATGGGGTCGCGTTAGTTCATTTAGTTCAGTGTCAAATTCCTAATCCACGGGTCGAAGGTTGGATATCCCCTCCGTTCCAGGATCGGCAGCTTCGGTGCGTTCTTCGGAAAATCTTTTGGTTCAGGTTTTCTCGTCTTGATATTGCTTATAGTGTACTGAAGTTGTTTATACCATGGATGAAAACGCACTAAAATATCAACAGAAGACTGGACAGTTTTTGGGGCAAATTTTCATTTAACGATGACCTATTGCAGAAAAATGATTATAATATTACATTAAAGATGCAAACAAAAACTAATGATTTTTGTTGAAAGCATGCTTGTAAGATTCCGACTGAGGTATTACGGTTAATTCCTTATGCAACTGGTTGCTTTTATACTAAACCGATGCAACCAACTCCTCTTTTTTACAGTCATTTTTGACAGAAAAGAACATTTTCCTGAGACAAGGCGGCTCAAAGAATCAGTATGTGCATTATCCATCTTTAATATTCACTAATACTAAAACAAATTAACATACTTTTCATCACCCCTAAACCATGTAGATTTTTAGATATTTACCTCTGTAGCAGACACATGTAAATACGTAAGCCAAGTCTGCTGCTCAGCCCAAGTTAGGCGTTTGATGTCCAATGCTAGTCTAACTGTGACAGGTAGACACCAACAAGCCAACCCATTTTCACGCCTAACTTAATTTAAATGCAAACCACATTACAGAATTAGCTTATGTGTGAATTTATAAATGCTAGGGTTGGGATAATTAGGCTCATGCCTTCTACCTTAAAAATTAGGATGGTGTCAAAATACGAAACTACCCAGTGAGACTTTAATAGTGAATTCGGAATTCCGAATTACTTTTTATGGATACTGTTTTCTTTCACAATTTAGAATCCAATCACCATATTTAGAATAATTAAAACATATTAATGTAAGCACCTGTTTCGGTTACGAGAGTTACTTCGTTTTTTGCCAACATCAAGATAGTGTGTATGCGTCAAAAGCTTTCAACATTTAACATCACCACTCATACCTATCTAAATGGACCGATCTGTCCGTGAAAAGCATTCGATGACGTAATAACTATCAGACCAGTATTGTGGGACAAAGTCAGAAAAACTTGTATCCGCATTATTTTTTCATTCCTGGTATATATTAATATTTGTATGGAGCTTTTAACCTGAATTTGAACCAGATATATTGATTTAAACTAATTATTTACCCCCCATGTTTAGGAGAAGTTTTTCTTTCAATACAAAGTCCGATTCTGTCTTCTTAGTATCCAATGCTCCTGTTAACATGTATTCATCTTAAATAAATAATCCTTTTACTGCTGGATTTTCCTTCAGTCCTATGGACTGAATGTTAGAGGTAAAGAGGACGATGACCCATTTTCTGTACGTATGATTGACAATAGCATTTTGGACGTACAAAGTTATATAAAACGTCAATCATCATTTCTCGGTCATGATTGCGTACCCGGTCACTGGGCCCTATCCCATCATGAAACAGAGGGACATCATTACACAGAGGGTTCTATCCCATTATTGTATATAGGGACCCAGATTATCATTACAACTTGGGATTGTGTCCATCATTACACAGAGGTGTCTATGACTGGAAGGCCCTTTGAGTTTAGATTCGTGCACTCCGTTATCAAATCACAGATGTACCAACAATCTTGTCCAGAGTAACTCCGATGTAGTTGTTGTTGTTGTTGGGCTTAACGCCATTTCTCAGCACACGATAGGCTATTCATGGCGGCCAGTATTAATGGTGGAGGAAGAAACCGGGAAAGAACCACCGACCCACGAGAAGCAACTGGCAAGCTTTCTCACATATCTACATTAGCCGAAACCTAGACTCGAACACACGCAGACAGAGGTGAGATGGCAGTGATCCGTAACGGACAGCGCTTTAGACCACTCGGCCACTCGGGGCCCCTCCGATGTAGTAGTGTCTGAAAATGAATTACTTGTTATAAGATAACTGGCAAGGTAATACCAGATATAGAGGAAATATATTACACCGCCACCCATATATATATATATATATATATATATATATATATATATATATATATATATATATATATATATATATATATATATATATATATATATATATATATATATATATATATATATAATAAATTTCTGCCTGCAAAAGATGGGATGTGCTCTGTTTCCGGCATGAGATGATTTTAATTAGGATCGGCTTAATAACGGTCCGACAGTTATGTATGGTCAAGTGGAGGAAATGACAGAGTTAAGACAAGCCAGAGACAAATTTTGGGAAAATCTTTGGCCAAAAAAAAAAAAGTTATCATAAGATGATATTTTCCAAAATTGTTTTTAATAAGTCGAACTAGAGAGATTATTCTGACTTCAAGGAAAGTGTTAAAAAAATGTGGCAATTAGAGACAGTTAATCCTAATTGGATAAGTTAAACGAGGGTGTGAGTGTTCCCAGACGAAATCAAAAGTAATCTTCCTCACGAAATTAGTCAAAGTGTTCTGCTGAGAGAAATCTGAGGTACTCCGATGCAAACTTATAAGTAATTTCTCTCGTAAAAATCGTCCAAGTGATGTGGGTCTGGAATGATTTGAGAGACAATGAACCAGAGAGAAATTCTGCTACACTGAAAAGAAAGCGAATCTCGGAAAAGAAAAAAACCCACAAAGGTATTCTTTCAATCACATACATTAAGCATTGATACAAGTTTGTGATTATTTGCTGAATTTTGGTTTATGCTTCAGTTTTCCTTGAGTTCAGAAGCCAATTGTTGCCCTCATTTGTCTTGAATCTAAACTAGAATGCATTAAAATAATGCATTCTTGGATGTCACATAATATTTAATTTTAATGAACGTTCTCGGATTCAGTCGTT